ATTTCCCCCACTGTATGGATAGAATTTCTAGGCACAGCCAAGTCTTTGAAGGTGCCCGTCTTGGTGGCCTTGGGATTGCATATCTGCTTTTTGCAGATGATTTGGTCCTGTTGGCCTGTCGTGATCTAGAGCTCCCGCTGGAGCGGTTCCCAGCCGTGAAGCAGCTCCTCCAAATCCAAGACCATGGTCTCTCACCGGAAAAGGGTAGAGAAAAATTAGCCTCCTCTGGGTCGGGGGGGTACGTCCTTCCCCAAGTGGAGGAGTTCAAGTACCTGGTGTCTTGTTCACGAATGGCGGTAAAATGGAGGAGGAGGTTGATAGGCGTCTGCAGTAATGCGGGTGCTGTCTTTCGTGATGAAAATAGAGCTGAGCTTAAAACCAAAGCTTTGATTTATCGGTCGATCTACGTTCCCACCCTCGTCTATGGTCACGAAATTTGGGTAGTGAGAAGAAAAAAGAACGAGATCCCGGCTACAAGCAGTCGAAATGAGAACCAGTCCCAGGACCCAGTAGGAGGCCCAGGACACACCGGAGGGACTATGGATGGATGGATAGGTGGGTGGATGGATGGATGGACCGATGGATGGAAGGACAGATGGATGGATAGATGGATGGATGGATGGAATTGGGTACCTGTCTCTGGATGAGGCCTCGTAACCGTTCACATGTCTCTTCATCCCTGATGCTCCCCACCGAAGACAACTTGGCCAGGTACCTGAAACCACAAAAACAAGATTTAATTAGTTCTTCATCCAGAACCAAACACCAAGACGATACTCCAACATACCAGCGTGGACCATTTCTACTTCCCCATCACCCATTTCATCCCTTTTTTCCTTGTTAGTCATCCATCTTAAAATCTAAGAACCTTGGGTTTATGTTTCTGTTTATGCATTTGGCAGACGCTTTTATCCAAAGCGACTTACAGAGTAGACACAATATTACATTTATCATCACTCATCTCTGATTTATTTATTTACGTTGTTTATGATCATTAACGTGACGTTAATTTGAATTGCTAGCTGCGGCTAATGCTAATAATAACACGCCAACATTAATCAAGTCTGCAAGAAGCCAAGGATGGATATCCAACTCCCCCACATCCAAGTCGGCCATTTTGATTAGGTCACCAACAGGAAGATCCCAGGCAAGAAAATCGTAATAGCCTCATGGCAATAAAGACAATAATTCAAAAATAGTGGAATCAATCTCTCAAATAAAAATATTTATTTCTCACAATTATGAAGGGTGGAGGGTTAGGGTCAGGGTTAGGGTCAGGGTTAGGGTTAGGGTCAGGATCAGGGTTAGAGTTAGGGTTAGGGTTAGGGTTAGGGTCATTAATGTGGGCCACCATAACATCAGTAACAGGTCAGTTTGAAACCAAAGACACTAACCTGTCAAAAGTCAGCTAAATTTTGGGGTCTTTGTTTTTATCCTTGTGGTATCGAAAATGGTATCGAGTATTGAGTATTTTCCTGAGTATCGGTATCGAGTTGAACATTTTAGTATCGTGACAACCTTAATCATCACTATGACAATAAGAAAAAATAAGCATTCTTTGTAAGTGGGCAAACCTGCAAAATCAGCAAGGGGTCAAATACTTATTTCCCCCACTGTAGATGGGAGCCATACCCTTAAACACTTTGTAGGCTAGCATCAGGGACTTGGATTTGATTTATTTTAGTCTATAGTAATTTTATTTAATCTGTTGATGTGTAAAGAGGGGTTAGTTAGCTCATGGGATGTTGTGGGAATATTTTGGACCGTGATGACAGTAAGAGGAGGTAAAGTGGTCCATCACTCACACCACCTCCAGGTCAGACGGGTTAGGGGAGATATACCGCACACACACACACACACACACACACACACACACACACACA